CAGTACGTGGACCTCACTACCTCAAGAAGCAATCCATTGCTTGGTGGACAGCTCTCATTGTTAAGACATCCTTCCTATAAGGAAGGTTCCTAGTTCTGCGCCTGGGGCCAAATAGAACAAGACTAATCCCTCGTCTTCATAGCAGTCCTTCAGCTATAGAAAGATACCAATTGTGCCACCGCCTCACCTCCCAAATTTCTCCTCTTCGGGGCCTTCAGCCTATCCTTGAATGAGCAAGGGGCTCAGGAAGTTGCTTCTGGAGATCTTCAGAATATGTGTTGCTCTCTCACCAGGAAAGAGATGATACAGGAACTTTGTTTGGATTCTAGCTGGGATGTAAATAGTGATTTGATATCAGGTCAGATCAGTAAGTATTTATCGAATGCTGGCTGTATGCTCAGTCCAGTGTGAGGTGCTGGGCAGGATACCAAAGAAGTATGCAAACAGAATCCCAGACCTCCAAGCCTTCCCAACTTTGAAAGTTGCTGTGGTTCTGAAAGCTACTAAGAGTCTTAAGATAAGAATTCAAATCCCAACTCTAACACTAATCACGTGACCATGAGCAAGTCACTTCATCTCTGAGGCTCAGGCCTCAGTTTTCTCACCTGTAAAATGGAGATAATAATATTTGTATTACTAGCTTCACAGGGATATTGTATAAAGGCAATGATAACAATAGCTATCTGTGGAAGGCCTCTGTACAGAGCCGAATGATTATGAACTATGATGCTTACAGTTGAAGAAACTAATAGATGGCAAGTGACTTACTCAAGGTTATGCAGCAGATAGGTGACACAAATCTAGTTGTCCTTACTCCCCAAGAATGGTTCTTCTGATGGCACCAGTTCAGGATGTTGGTTTATTGAATCTAGATTATTCCACTGACCTGACCCATAGCCATAAAATTTCTAATTAAAAAGGAGCTCGGAGACCATCTGGTCCAACCCTCTCATATTATAGATGAGGAAGAGGTCCATTTCCAGTCGTCCTGATCTGTGTCTTGCCATCAGACCCATATGACCCTGGAGGAGAAAGTAAGGCTTGGTGCCCTTGCACAGCCCTCCCTCACTTAAATCCAATTCACTGGCAAATCATGGCATCTTCTTCCTGATGTCATGATCCTCTTTGAGAACTAAGGACAAACAACAACAATAATAGATGAGGAAACTGAAGCCCAAAGAAGTGACTTATCTAAGAGCACACAGTGTAAGCCCAGTCTTTGGACACATCTAGTTAATCCCCTCTGCTACTCCCAGCAGAATCTGGCTAGGCTTAGTCTGAGACTCCTAGATGTTGGAGGACTGGAAGAGAAGATGTACTGCTCTCACTTCTACCCCACGCCACCTCCCTGGAAGATTAGCCAGTATCTTAAGGAACAGCCTCAGAGAATCAACTTCTTTAATGTTAATCCCCTTGAGACTTGGGGGCTGGGGTGGAAAATTAGCTCAATGGGAAGTCTGGAAATATACGTTAACAAATCTCACCCATTAGCCTTTCAGGGGACAGATGAAAGTCCCTGAAGGCTACTGCACAAACAATATTCTCTGGTATCTGGATATTTTGAACAGATGTCTGGATCAAAGGCACACGCAGAAACCAAAACAAAATAAGGAAGAAGCAGTAAAAAAAATTCAACCACCTGCCCAGCAGCAGTTCAGGTGCTGGGGCCTCAACTCCAAAGTTGGGAAGAAAGAAGACAAATGTAATGCTTGGTATTGTCCCCCATTTTTATAGATAAGACAAAGGAGGCCCAGAGAAGTTGTGATTAGCCCCAAATCACACAGCACATAGGCTTGGATAATCTCTTGTCATGGACCCAATCCTAGTCCCAAATTGAGAATTTAAACTAACTGCTGGGAGGCACCAGATCAAATAAACAGATCAGTCTCTAGAACTAAGTTCTTGCTTACATTGAACTTTCCTATAAAATTCACCCTTTAATCTTATGGTCAGGAATTTCAGAGAGCAGAAAAGAAGGGTAAACTCTGATAAACTCATTGGTGCCAAAGTAGAAGGAGGGACTAGCCCTGTCTCCCTCCAGGGGTTACAGTTGGCAGTGTTCCAAAGAACTGCGAAAAGTCAGTGCTTATGGTAGAATGGGAGCTCATATTTCCATAATGCCTCAGAGTCTATGAAACACTTCACCTGACAACCCTGGGAGGCAGGGAATGCAAGTATTATTTCCATTTTACAGATGAGGAAATTGAGGCTCAAACAAAGAAAGAAATTTCTGCAAGGATGCCCAGTTACTAAGCTCTGAGCTGGAATTCAATTCCAGGTTTCCTGACTCCAGGATTCTTTTCACTGTATTACCTTTCCCAGTGAAAGGATCACCAGTAGTAAAACTTCATAGCTACTGGGGCCTTTGAGGTGCAGGAAAATGGGGACCATGGAGTTAGCTAAGTAGTCAATGATTACTCCTACCAATGTAGATGATGTGAAGATGAAGGGAGAGATCTGGGCAGGGCCCGAGTAATGGCGGATTCATGATATTTAAGGATTTTCATCCACTTTTGACTACAAGGGATCTTAAAATCATAATAGCTAGCATTTACATAATACTTCAAAGTATGCAAAACAAGTCACAAATATTATCTCATTTTAACCTCAACCACCCTGGGAGATAGATGCCCTCCCTTTTAAAGATGAGGAAAGGGGCAGCTAGGTGGCGCAGTGGATAGAGCACCAGCCCTGGAGTCAGGAGAACCTGAGTTCAAATCCAGCCTTAGACACATAGCACTTACTAGCTGTGTAACTCTGGGCAAGTCACTTAACCACAATTACCTCACCAAAAAAAAAAAAAAAAGATGAGGAAACTGAGGTAAAGAGAGGTTAAGTAGCTTACCCAGAGTAAGATACCTAGAAATTGTCTGAGTCATAATTTGATCTCCAGTCTTCCTGACTCATAATCCTGCACTCTATCCACTTCACTACCTAGCTATCTCTAGAATATAGACTTCATTCTACAAGGGACTTCAGAGCCTAAGATGTTGGCCAGTATAAGGCTCCAACCTCTACATTTTACCAACAAGGCCCAGAGAAAAGTGACTTGTCCAAAGTCGCTCGCCTAGTAAGTAGTGGAAAAAATGGAGCTAGGACCCAAGCCTTCCGATGCCCTGTTGAGGACCCTTCCCTACATAGTCCGAGGAGGATCTTTGAGGGTGAACAGCCTCAGACACAGAGTCCACTCAGGCTAGTCCTGAGGGAGGAGTGACCCAGCCTTCCCAAGGAAAAGCGTGTAAAGTCTAAGTGGTTATCTCATGCTGTATCTACACATGTGCAGATTCCGTTATGTGGCTACTCATCAGATTCTAGCCCTGCCTGTAGTTTGTCCTTCATGGTTAGGCTTCCTTCCTCCTAAGCCTTTGAAATCTTGTTTCAAGAAGAATTGGGCCCAGGTGAAAGGAAAGCCCCAGGAGGTTGAGATGTGGCCTCTAGATCAGGGTTTTTTTCACTGTGTTTATGCAGTTTTCCTTCCTGGGCTGAACACTGAATGTCAGAATAACATGGAGTGACAGTGAGAAGGGCCCTCCAGGAATAGGAATACCTTTATTTCCTGAGTGCAGGACCTGGCCTATGACATCCATTTTACAGTGGAAGAAAGAAGTGAAGTCACCTGCCCAGAGTCCCACAAATTGGTAAGTGTCAAATCCAGAACTTCAGTCCAGGTTTCCTGAATATAAAAATCAATTCTTCCCACTCTACCATTGCTTCAAATACTGGGAAATATGTCACCCATAGAAGGGACCTCAGAGGTTATATTGTTCACTTTAACTTAACACCTAGTCTAACCCCCCAACATTTTACCAATGAGTCCCAGAGAAAAGTGACTTATCCAAAGTCTCCTATCTAATAAATAGTAGAAAAAGTGGGACAAGGACCCAAGCCTCCTGATGTCCTTTTGAGGACTCTTTCCCCAGTGTCAAGCTGGTGGGTGCTGTAGGATACCATGTTGTCCACCTCCTCCCTCCCTCCCCCTCGTTTTGTGAACAGGCAGAAATTTGAACTGAGCCATAACTGGGAATTATGTCCCCTGGGGCAAATATAATTGAGAGGTACACAGGAAAGAGACTACAGTCCATCGGGGTCAGTTGCAGCCGTCTTCTCCACAGCTACTGAAATAAACTTCCTAAAGCAGAAGTCTGACCGTGTCATTTCCCTCTGCTTAGGAATCTTCAAAGACTTTCTGTTGCCTCTACAGTAGAACACACATTTCTCTGACATTTAAAGCCCTTCATGCTCTGCCTCTAGCATGTTGCTTTCCTCATTCGCTCTTCATTTCCGCCCTTCTTGCCCTCTGGCTGTTCCCTAAACTTAGTATTCTACCTCTTGTATCCATGCCTGGGATACAAACTCCCTCATCCCCCCTCCCAACTCTTAGGATCCCTAGCTTCCCTCCAAGGCTCAGATCATATGCTGCCTCTTACAGGAAGTCTTTCCCCTAATTGTTAATTCCCTCTCCCCCCTCAATCTGTTATTTAAATACTTTTCTGTTTGTATATTGTAGCCTCCAACAGAATATAAGCTCCTTGAGGACAGAAGCTTTGCATCTTTAGTGCCTTGCAAGCAGTAGGTCATAGTTGCTGTTCTTGTTCATACTCTTCATGATCCTATTTGGGGTTTTTTTGGTAAAGCTACTGGAGTGGCTTGCCATTTCCTTCTGCTCATTTTATAGATGAGGAAACTGAGGCAGACAGGGTTAAAGGATTTGCTCAGGGTCACATAGTTACCAAGTGTCTGAAGCTGAATTTGAACTCAGGTCTTCCTGGCTCTAGGCCCAGCCATCTATCTACTGTGTCACCTAGCTGCCCTAAGTCATACTCATAAAGCCAGCATATGAACCTAGAACGTCCAGGCCAGTGCTTTTTCAAGTTGTAGAGAGAAGAGTACTTTTGTGCTCATCAGAATGCTTTGCAAGAGTTTTGTTTTTTTGTTTTTGTTTGTGCTGGTGGGTATGAAGGCTGATAGGTAGAACAAAGGGAAAGGAATAGCATTGCCGATTTTACCTAACTTATTTATTCTTGCCCTTTGATTTACTTGCATGACAATCAGAGAGCACTTCGAAAGCTAAGGATAGCTTTGTTTCCCTAGCTGCCACATCGCTCCTGTGGGGTTTTTGGATAGAGTGCCCAAAAAGGGATTTTGAGTATGAAAATGGACAAGCTGGGATTTAATAAGAGCTACAAGAAATTTTCTGATGCCAAGGTGGGGGCGGGGGGGACCTGGAGTCAGCAGCAGGTAAAATGATTCAAAAGAATAGAGCATTTTAGCCTAAGAGTTTCTGCTAGTTTTTTCTGGTTGCCCGGCTGAGAGTGATAACTCATAGTCTTCACTTGCCACATAGAGGCTTACTAGCCATTACACCCAAGAAAATGGTTGCAGAGACACCAGACAATGTGGTACGTCCCCTGGTCTGTTGGTTGCTGAATTGCTTTGTGTTAACCTCAGGAGAAAACACCATTATAGTTGTGAGAGAGGACAACATACAAGATGAAAATCACCATCACCACTGTAAGCATATAAAAATAACACATTACAATCAAAAGCAAGGAAGTCAAATGGGCGTGTTAAAGTCTTTAAAAGGCACTTCTGGGCTCCGGGCTCCAGTGTTAGAAAGCTCAGTAGTACAATTCATGTCTTTAGTTCCAGTGTGTGTGACTTGTCCTATATACTGGGAGGGAAGTGCCACTGAAACTCCTGGGAAGAGGGGAGCTGCTCACAGGCTTGATGAGATTTCTTCATCTTGATTTCCCAGATGCTCCACCGAATGGGAATGGGAAATCATGCATCCTATGGATCTGTTCTCTGCTCAACTCCAGCCAAGCCCCCAAGTAACTCAAGGAAACCCAAAGACTTGTGACATACAGCTTTCCCTTCCTCTCCTCACCTGATTTGGCCTGTCCCACAACCAAATATACATACACATAGATATGTACATGCACAAATGTGCCTCGTACACACACTTGCATATACATGTGTGTGATGTGAACATGTGCCTGTAGGCACATAAAGAAAGGCATACATTTGTACTCATAGAAATCTGCCCCCACACAGTCTCAGTCTCTCTCTCTCTCTCTCTGTCTCTCCCTCTCTCTCACTCACCACACACACACACACACACACACACACACACACACACACACACAGCCTCAGCCCAGCTGAAGCACAATTCCTTAAGCAGGAATGCATGGGTACAAGAAAGAAGGAAGGGGCAGAGGGAGGTGGTTTCTATCTTCCTTGCATTATTCCTATCATTCGGGTTTGGTTCCCTGAGTTCCTCCCCATTTCCTAAGGATGACCCAAAGGTGGTGACCAAGATAAGGGGGAGATGCTGTCCTCAACAAGCGTTCTTCATGTGTGCTCCCTGCCCGTGGTCCCATCTAGGACCCAGCCACAGGTATTAGGGGAAAGAGATGGAGGGCCATGCATGGAAGACACGGTGCAGAATTCCCTTGGAGAGTCCACGGAAGCATCCAGAGGCTTAAAACTCTTGCTGAGACTGAGCAGGAGGGAATGGGGCTGAAGGATTGGCCCCATCCTAGCACACTCTGCCAGTGGCCGTCAGGAAGTCTCGGGCAGGCCAGGGGGAGGGCCCTGGACAGGCAGTTTCTACCTGGTCCAGAGCCCCATTGGGTCTATGTTGCCTGTCTCTACCCCATTTCGAGTCGTCTGTACGGTGCTGTTAGGGGTCAGATTTGAGGAAGAGTTACCATGGGAAGCTTCCCTGCCCTGTTCCTATCATCAAGGGAGAAGATAACCAAATGACCTAAGTCAGTTCATTGGATAAAGTTGGAAGGTCCCTTAGAAATAACCTAATCCAACCCTCTCAATTTACAAAAGGGAAAACTGAGGCCAAGAGAAAGGATATGCCACACAGGGAATGAGGAGAGCTAAGATTCAAACCCAGGCCACAAGTCTGACTCCAAATCCAGGGCTTTTTGCTGTAACACAATCTGTGACCTTCTACTTCCTAAATCCAGGCACTGCCTGCCCAGGGCTAATGGGATTGGGCTCAGTTTTCCCTGGGCATCGAATCAGAAGTCCCGAGATCCAGTGGGCACCAGGGGAGGAAGAAGAAGGGCCTTCTTGTGACATAGCTCCTTCCCAAAGGCTTAGGGTTCCCCTTTACAGTTTGATGTAGTGGGCCCCATGTGTCCTCATTGGGTCGGCTAGACCCCAGGCTCCCTGCCCTAGGCCAGGCCTCAATGCTATCCATGGCCTGGGAGGCGGCTGTATGTGTGGGTGGTGGGGGTGGAGGGCGAGGTTTCATATCAGCCGCTCCTCAGGTGGCACCTTGAGGACACTGTCCATTTCTAGCCGGGCTCCTGCCACCTCCTGTTGACTGGGGCTATAGGTCCCCTCTGACTGACGCCTTTTCCGGGCTGCAAGGACCCCTGAGAGGAGGCCAATCAGGAGCAGCAGAAGGCAGCCACAAGCCACTGGTACAACAACTTCAATCAATGGGAACGGGAACAGCATGACCGGAGGCCCCTTCTGCAAAAGACATTAACAGGAAGAAGAGAGACATGAGGGCACCAAAGGCAAGGAAGAGTTGGCCATCCATTGTCCAGGTTCCTTGGGCCTTGGGAGGCAGAGAATCATAGGCTTTTACAATTGGAAGGGACCTCAGGGAGCGTAAGATCATGGGGTTTGGAGAAGGCAAGAGAGCTTTGAGATGAGCAGAGTCCAGCCCTCTTATTTTAGAGATGAAGAAACCAGAGCCAGAAGTGTAATTTAATCCAACCCCTCCCTCACCAGCCATCCAGCCTCTGCCTGAAGACTGCTAGTGAGGGGAACTCTATGACCTCACAAGGCAAGTTCATTCCACCCTGGTTCATTGTTAATTAGTAGGAAATAATCAAAAATCTACCTTCTCCTTAACCTCCTAGTTGTTTTTTGTTTTTTTTTTCCCTCTGAAGCTAAGTAAAACTTCATAATAGACCTTGAAATATATCTCCATGATAGAACTTAAAATGCGTAGACAGTGATGAAATCCCCCGAGAGTCTTCTGGTTAACCAGCCCCCCTACTTGCTTTGACCAGTCCTTGGATAGTATAGTATCTCAGCCCCTTCCTATCTGGGTTCTCTCTCTCTAAACAGGTTCCAGCTTGACAACGTCCTTCCCAAAATGTGGGGCCCACAACCAAACTGGTTCTTGAGATAGAGGTCTGACAAGAATGTTAGGACTATCACCTGCCTCAAGCAAGACTCTGTGTCTCAAATCTATACAGCCTAAAATCCCATTAGCTTTTTCAACTGCCAGACCCATTTTGAATCTGAAGTCCACTAAGACCCTCCAGGCCCTTTTCACATGCCTTCTCCATCCTTTACTAGGGCAGGTGGCCATGGTTCACAATTATACCCCTTCAAAGCAAGTCAGAAGGCAATGGCCAGTCTGGTTTGTTTAGATGCACATTGATTTCCTCTGCCTCTGCCTCCCTAAATCCCACCAGAAGGAAAACAAGAAGCAGAAAAGTGCAAATTAGGCCAAGGGCCTATCAGGCCCTATTAGCCTATCTCCAAGAGTCCCCAGAAGTCATTGAATTTTAGAGCTGGAGGGAATCTTGGGAAAAAGAATGGAGTTGTGAACATGATTCTTAGGCCAGGGCGCCTTTGTCCTCATCTTATAACCAGGAAGGAGGTCACAGGCAGGCTTTTTGAAAGGTGCCTCTTGGAAGGAAAGGATTCTAACTTTCCCTACCAAAAAAAGGGGTGGGGGGAGGTTTGCATGTCCTTGGATGGGATCAGACCCCATTTAGAACGATGTGTCCAATTCTGAGTGCCACATTCTAGAAATAACAGTGACAAGCTGAGACCTACTCAGAGGAGGCAACCATGAAGGTTGTCCCACCCAAGGACATTCCATTGAAAGAACTGAGGAAGTTTAACAATTTAAGCTGAACAAAATACTTCAAGGGACAAAGAGGCTAGAGGGCTGTCATGGGACAGAGGGATTAACTTGCTCTGCTTGGCCTCTGAAGGCAGAACCAGAAACAATAGGGGAGGAGAGAAGTTACCAAAAAGCAGATGCTAGCTCAATGTAAGGAACCAATTTTGAGTACTTGATGCTGTCTCAAAGTGAAATAAGTAGCCTTGGGAGATGGGGAGCTCCCCATCCCTGGAGGTCTTCTCGTTGAGTCTAGCTGACCACTTTTCAAGAATGATAGAGGGCATTCCTGCTTGACAGTAGGTTGGCATGTCCCCAGATATCCCTCCTAGCTCCATGATTCTGTGGTTCATCTTTATAACCACAAGCTATTTGAAGACCTAGGAGAGGAAACGCCCTCTCCTAGATGCCCAGGGTATTTTCCTATTATTCCTCTGCCCTCCCTCCCTCCCCCAGATTCAGACTCATGCCCTCACCCATGGCCCTCCTCCCCATGACCCTGAGTAATCTCCTTCCCTTTTCTTGGGTTCAAAGTCTCAGCCCCTCCCAAGGTTGTAGAGCCAGCAAGTGGGACTGTGGGCTGGTTCTCGCCCCTCCCTCCACAGTGAACATCCCATGAAAAACCAGATTGTTGCCAAGCCAACATACTAACTTCTCCTTTCATACATGCATCTCCTTTCTCACTCCTATTCCCACAGCTCTCATGAAAATTATGCCAAATCTCCTTAGCCACCCCTCTCACTCCCTCAAGGCTTACAGCCCCGGGCCCCCAACTCACAGCCACATCACAACGGCGGCCCCCAAAACTACTACTGCAGATACATTCAACCTCACTCCCGGCTCCTTGGCAAGTGCCGCCATTCTGGCAAGGGTTGGGTTCACACTCAGGAACTCGAATTTGACACCTGGAATAAGGGAGAAAGCAAGGGCTAACACAGTACTCTCCAAACCCAATGCCCTGCTGCATTTCTACCTCCCAGAAGACCACCCTACCAATCAAAGGTGTCTTAACGTTGGGAAAGTGAATTCCCAAACCTTGAAAATGTTCAAGCAGACTTTGGATGAATGGTTGTCAAAGATGTCATATAAAGGAGTTATATTTCCAATAAGTGCTGGGTTAGATGTCCTTGGAGGTCCCTTCCTATGCTAACATTCCATGTTCTAATAGTCTAAAGTCCCTTCCAACTTTTACATTTTTGATCCTAAGGTCACGTCTTACTCTAAGATCATTTAATCTTGTGTTCCTAAAAGGACCCTTTACCAAGGGAGAGGGAACAGTCAGCATCTCAACTTCATGACCCTTGCAAGGGTGAATGTTATCCATGACCCTCCAACTGGCTTTGGAAAGGGGAGGACCAAAACCATAAGGATTGAATTTCATACTTGAAATTTGAAGGGACTTTAGAGATTATCTAGCCCAAGTTACTCATTTGACAGATAAGGGAACTGATGAGAAATGACCTGCCCAAGGTCACATACCAAGTGAGTGGCAAGTCTCACACTAGGAAAAGGACATTGTAAGATCACAGACTTAGAGCTGGAAGGTACCTTAGAAGTCAAGAATCAAACCCTCTCGGGACAGCTGGGTGGCATAGTGGATAGCGTACCCAGCCGTGGAGTCAGGAGGACCTGAGTTCAATCCGGCCTCAGACCAAACACTTGATACTTACTAGCTGTGTGACCTTGGGCAAGTCACTTAACCCTGATTGCCTCACTAAAGGAAAAAAAGAAAAAAAAAGGGGAAAAAAAAGAATCAAAACCTCTCAGGGCAGCTAGCTAGGTAGTGCAGTGGATAGAGCACCAGCCCTGAAATCAGGAAGACCTGAGTTCATATCTGGCCTCAGACCAAACACTTGACACTTACTAGGTATGTGACCCTAGGCAAGTCACTTAACCCTGATTGCCTCACTTAAAAAAAAAAAAAGAATCAAACCCTCTCTTTTACAGATGAAGAAGCAGAAGCCTGGAGAAATGAAATGACCCGGCAGAGGCCCCACAGGACTAGAACCCAGGCCTCCTGGCTTTTTCAGCAGCACCTTTTATATCAGCCTTTGACCAGTGGATTTCTACCACTGTGTGATGAAACTCTCCCATCTGCCTAGATGTGCTGGAGGACTCATTTGTGGACGTGTAAATCTAATATTCATATCTTCATTTTGGAATGCATTCCTCATTTTTTTTCTTCACTGTATATGAATATATTAATTGACAGCTCCACAGATACAACCAATCTCCTTTATCCCTTTGGCAAAAACCCGAACAAACAGCTTTTACCATCCCCAGCTTCTGCCATTGTCCCCAGACCCTGCTAGATGACTGAGGCTAATCCTTTGACACTCCTTCCCCACAGAGCCTGGAAACGGCTCGGTGATAGCCTGCAGGGGGCTTTCTTAGCCAGAAGGAAGGAGGCACTAATGGCAGTGTTTCACACACTAGGACAGGCTGACTGGGGAGATGCTTCAGAGTGGAGCAGGCCTAGTGGGGAAATCACTGAGTTTGGGGTCAGAGAAGCTGGCTTCAAATCCAGGCTCTGTCACTTACTGCCTTAGGAACTGGCCAAGCCTGTCCCCTCTCCAGGCCACAGTGCTAGGCCAAGTGACCTCTACCATTCCTTCCAGATCTCAATCCCATAATTATCTGATCTCATGATCCCTCCAGTTATGCTTCCTAGGGGACAACCTGCCCTGACTGTGTAAGGCAAGCTTTGTTTGTGAGCCTCGGAGGCCAGGGACCAAACAGAACAGGGCCCCTTTCTTCCTTAGCTGAGGTTCCTCTCTTCCTGCCTAGGGACACTGAAACATGTTTTCCCTCACTTCATCATCAGATCCCAGCAGCACTGGCTCCCAGCCTTCCCCTTACTTCTCCCACCTCAGGCCTGTGTAGCCCATCGGGCAGGTACAGTTGGCTCCCCAGGGCCCATCAGAACAGTGGCCTCCATTCAGGCAAGTGAAATTGTGGCCGCACTCATCTGGTGGGAAGGACCACCTAGGAAATAAGCATAACATCAAAGAACATAAGTCTTGGAAGGGATTTTAGAACATAAAATGTTAGACCAGAGAAGATAGAATGTCAGTTGGAAGGGAATGTAATACCTAGAACAGGATGTTGGAGTGGGAAGAGCCCCTGGAACATGGAATGTTAGAGTACAGAAGACAGGATGTTAGAGCTGGAAGGAATCCTAGAACACAGAACATTAGAGGAGAAAAAAGAGAATGTCACAGTGCTAAGGGATCCAGGACATAGTAGAAGAGAGAAGGCAGGATGTTCAAACTTAAAGGGATACTAGAACATGGAATGTTAGAAAAGAGAACACAGGGTGTTAGAGCTGGAAGGGACCTTAGAATGTAGGATGTTAGAAAAGATAGAACATCATAGTTGCAAGGATCTCTAGAATATACAATGGTAGAAGAGAGAAGATAGGATGTTACAACTGGAAGGGACCCTAGAACATAGAATGTTAGAAAAGATAAAATGTCATAGTTGCAAGGAACCCTAGAACATACAATGTTAGAAGACAGAAGACAGGATGTTACAAGTGGAAAGGACCCTAGAACATAGAATGTTAGAAAAGACAGAATGTCATAGTTGCAAGGAACCCTAGAACATGCAATGTTAGAAGACAGAAGACAGGATGTTACAACTGGAAGGGAACTTAGAACATAGAACATTAGAACAAAGAGGAGAGAAGGTCCCAGTTATAAGGGGCCCTAGAACACAGAATGTTAGAGCAAAGAGCACAGAATATCAAAGTTGGAAGGGGCCTTAGATATCAGCTAGTGCAACTCCTTTGCTTTACAGAGGAGGAAACTAAGCTAAGAGACTGAAGGCTCCTGCCCAAGGCCACACATGTAGGAAACAGGAAGACGAGAAGCAGGACTGTGGCTGAGCTCTCCAGACTCCAGGCGCCACATCTGAGCCTCCCAGACCAGGTACCTACTGGCAGAGGGGGCCACTGAACTCAGGAGGGCACAGACAGGAGTAGCTCAGGACCCTGTCCACACAGGTGGCCCCATGCAGGCATGCGTGCTGGAAGCAGTCATCCACGTCGCTCTCGCAGTCCCTTCCCGTGTAGCCTGGGGTGCAGTGGCACTGGTAGCTGCCTGGCAGGTTCCCACAATGGCCATGGACACAAGGAGCAGAGCCACACTCATCCACATCCACCTCGCACCGAGGGCCATCCCAGCCGGCCCTGCAGGCACAGCTGAAGGCATTGAAGAGGTCCTGGCAAGTGCCCCCATGGAGACAGGCTTCCACCAAACACACGGGGCTACCGTGACAGCCCAGACTGATGTCATCCCCACCGTCCAGAAGGAACTGCTCTGGCTGGGGCAGAGACATGGCGAGGCGGACGAAGGGCAGGTCAAGGCCACCGAGGGTCACACGGCCTAGGCAGCCAGTGAAGTTTTCTGCCAAAACAACCTGCACGTGGTTGTGGAGGAAGTCCAGGCTCCCTGCCTGGCCCCAAAGGGTCGTGTTCCTGGCCCCATCCAGCTGCAGCAACCAGGGAGAGATGGAAGCTGCTGGCTCCTCCATGGTCAGGGTGACCAGGTGCCAGGCCCCGTCGGAAACAGGCACCATGCCTCTGAAAGTGGCCCCCTCAATGCTGTTCCCACTCTGGATGGACATGGATAAGGAGCCATTGCGGATGGCCACCCACAGGGAGGCCCCCTCCCCTGCTGCCTGCAACAGGATGGCCTCAGGGTCCCGGGTACGGAAAGCCAAGGAGAGAGCTGTAAACTCCCGTTTGGCCGACATGTTGTAGCTGGTGAACACGGCAGGTGGCTGATCTTGGAATGTAGCATTGGCCAAACCTAGGAGACAGGTACAGAGCTCTGTGAGCAAGGGTGAGCCTGGGGGCCAGAGCTAGGGTCTACTCCCTATTTCTTCTCAGAGTGCCAAGGGTTGTATCTGGCTGGGACAACCCAGGGTTAGGGGATAGAGAATGGGTCATCCTTAAAGTGTAGGGGGCCCAGACAATCCCTTAGTTGGGAAAGGGAGACCTGGGAAATCCACAGCCTACTACATATGAGGTCTAAGGATGCCCTTGAGTAATATTTGACCCATCAGGCTAGGCTAAAAAAGGGGGGAGGGGCCCAGGCAGTCTCTTGGGGCTGTGAGCATGCCTGGCTTAGGGTGCTTTAGAAATTGTGAGATCAAGATCATCCTTGGAATTTTGGTACCCAAACTATCCCCAGGGGTGTGCATGGCCCCAGAATCTCCCCAATCAGTATGCGATCCCTTAGAAGACACAGGGCACCGGCTGTTCCTGGGAGAAGGGGGTCCAGGGCCCAGGACATTCCTAGAGGGTATGGGGCTACCCCTAGGGGACACAGAGTCCAAGCTGTCCATGCCAAAGAAGGGTGAGTATTCCAAACTCCTTGGCCTGGCATTTAAGGCCCTCTACAATCCATTACCACTCTGTTTTTCTAGGGTTAATTCATATTATTCTTTTCTAGACTCTTTTGCACTCTAGTCAAACAGGGACTGTCTTTTGCCTTTCTTTGTATCTCCAGCACTTAGCACAGTGCCTGATACATAGTAGGTGCTTAATAAATGTTTACTAACTTACTGACTCCCCTCTCACCCTCAAATACGCGTTGTGTTCTCATATTCCATGCCTTTGCTTCTGCTGTTCCCTATACCTAGAAGGCTGTGCCCCCTTCCCCCACCCCTGCCCCCACCGTGCCTCTTGAATTTGTAACCATGCTTCAAAATTCAATTTTAACACTTCTTCCATGAAGCCATTCTTATCCCCCTAAAGACTGACCTTACTCCTCAGATATCCCACAGCCCTTTGCACTTCTCTGCTGCCTCTATCACATGTCCCACTACTACAGGATCAACCAGAAAGTCCTGCTTGGCTTTTAAAGCCCTCGCGAGCTGGCCGCAGCCTACCTTCCCAGGCTTCTTAGACATGACTCCCCTTTCCACACTTTATGGGCCAGCCACACAGGCCTCTTGCTGTATTTATCCATGACCCTACATCCTTGCAATGCAATGCTCTCTCCTGTCCTGTTAGCATCCATTCCTTCCTTCAAGCCTCAGCTCAGAGGCACCTTCCAGAAGCTTTTTCTAATCCCCTCAGCTACTATTTTTGTTGTTCAGTCATTTTCAGTGGTGTCTGACTCTCTGTGGCCCCATTAGGGGTTTTCTTGACAAAGATACTGTAGTGGTTTACCATTTCCTTCTTCAGCTCATTTTAAAAGGTGAGGAAACTGAGGCAGACAGGGTTAAGTGACTTGCCCAGGGTCACACAGCTAGTAAGTGTCTGAGGCCAGATTTGAACTCAGAAAGAGGAGTCTTCCTGACTCCAGGCCTGGTGCTCTATCTACCGTGCCACCTGGCTGCCCTTTCCACTACCATTGCCTGCCCCGAAATCACCTTGTATCTAGTGTGTATTTACAATAATAATAACAAAAATTACTATTATTATTATTATTATTATTATATCTAGCATTTTTATAGTGCTTTAAGGTTTTCAAAACACTTAAATGCATGTTATCTCAGGCTTGTAGGGGTATGTATTGTCTCACCCAATAGAATGTAAACTCCTTGAGGGCAGAGACTTTTTTGGTTTTTTCTCTTCAAATTCCCAAGGTTTAGCACAGTCTGAGACATAGTAGGTACTTAATAAAGGCTTGGATGGTATAATATCAAACATTATATTCTGTGCTTATGTTGTATCCCCTGATTACACTTTAAACTCCATAAGGTTAGAATCTGCATTATCCTTTGTCTCTCTCTCCTGGCCCCCGCAGTGTTGAAGACAGAGCTCTGCACAGAGTGGGGATTTTAAATGTGTTGAATAAAATGAATGAATACGAATGAACGCATGGAGTGTGGAGCTTCAGTTATTGCTAGAGTGAAAGGATGGGACAAATAGTTGTCTCTACTCACAGACGTAACCATCAGGAACCTCAGCACAGGTGGTGGGAGGGGGACAAGGCTGGTCCTGACACCATAAGCGCTTAGCACACGTGGGCCCCGTAAAATTGGGGGGGCAGCTGCACATGAAGTCATTCCAGGTCACAGTGCACGTCCCTCCATTGTGACAGGGTTCAGACTGCAAAACAAGCCATTTCTGCAGAGCCCAAAGGTATGCACACCTCCCTCGCACTAACCCCTTCCCAGGAAGGAATGCAAAGGTTTTCAGCCCCATTGTACAGAGGAGGAAACAGAGGCCCAGAGAAGGGAGGGGTGATGCCAATGGTCAGTCATACAGCTAATCCATTTGTTCCTTGGCTCAAAGGTACCGATGAGTGGAGGGAAGGCCCTCAGTCACAACCCCTTTTCCTCCTTAGGCCTGGGACAGGAAGCTTAGGGCTGGGTCAGTGAGGAGCAGAGCCACCTATACTGAGGACCAGGGAGGTCTCTGGGAACAAAGGAATGGCCTGTCTGCAGACTGGATGCTAGAACTAGACATTAACTTTAGACAAACTTGGATCTTGTCAGAGAAGTTGTTGAGGTAAATTCCTGCCCAGTAAAGGTTGAACAACACAATAAATAGCAGCCCACGATTTTATTGTCCTTAAAACATTCACAAAACACTCTCCACACAGCAATGCTTTGAGGTAGGTAATGAAATATACCTCCATTTAATAGATGAAGAAACTGAGGCTCAATAGAGCTGTGACTTGCCCAAGGTCAAACATCTAATAATAGGGCCAAGAAGCCAACCCAGGTCTCCCTTCTCCAAAGCCAGCATTCTTCCCACTTCTTTGCCCTTCCTATATGTCGTCCAGGGTTCCTTTCAGCTCAGGAACTCTCTATAATCCTGCAGGAGGAAGAGGAGGGGGCCGCTCATGGCAAGAGGGAGTTTCCTGTTTGGCAGAATCAGTAAAAGTAGCCCCTCCTCAAGCAAAGATATGGTGGGGGCTTGGACTAACTTCACCCATGGAGTCCTCAGAGAGTGAGGAGACCAGGAAAGAGTCCAGGCCTGGGTCTGCTCAGTCTCTGGAGTCCAGACACAGACCCAGACGCTCCGGGTTCGTCTGTCTTTCTTAGACTAGGAGTCTCTGAGGACACACCTGCACCTTTCTGCCGAGCCAAGCCGGGTTGATGAGGACAAGTCTGATGAGGATGGTGGTGTAGACTCACTGTCTGTAACTTTGAGCAAATTATTTCACTTCTCTATGCCTCAGTTTCCTCATCTATAAAAAACAGGTAGACAGACTAATAATCTCTAAGATCCTTTCCAATTCTAGCATCCTGTGGCCTCGGGCCTCTTCTAGCTCTGACATTTGGTATTCCATGTTCTGATGTTCTAAGTACTAATGTCTCTTCCGGCTCTGATATTCTACGTACAAAAGTCAAAGAACTCCTAAGTGGTATAGTCTCCCTAGAACGTATACATGCATTCACAAACACACACACACACATGCACCCACTAGCCACCTGGCTTACTCACCCTGCAGGTATCTTCAGAGACACAGCCCAAAGTAAGGTTGCTGGCCTGTCCTTCATACACTTCCCCAGAACTGGTCCAGTTTCCTGGGTGAAGAAGAGGGAGGAAGTCCAGGCGAAGACTGTTAAGACGGATGTCCTGCAGGCAACCTTTAAAGCTGCCACCCCAGTGCTCAGCCCAGGCGGGCGGGGCCAGACCGCCTATGTGGACCTCATAGGTGGGACCCAGAGGCAGCCCTCGAAGCTGTCCAGGGCCTAAGCTGAGGGTCACCAGGTGCCTGCGTCCATCATCCAAGCGTCCAGGCAGGGTCGCCACTGAGGTGTAAGCTGTCTCCACACAGACCTCCCCTCTGGCCAAGAACACTGTGTAGGCGGGCAGTGAGTCACTGGTCACCTGCAGCAGGAGGCCCGCAGCCTCACGAGTGCGTAGAACAAAAGAGACAGAGAGGTTGGGGCCTGGTGCATCTCGAAGCAGGAAGGAGGCCATGCTGTTGGAGCCCCCTAGGCCGAAGGTCCATGCTGGTGGCTCTGGAGAGAAAGGAGAAAGCAGAGGAGCCTCAGCAAGCTGGAATGGTCAACATGGGGAAGGATACCCCAAAGAGAAATGAGGTCTATCCTTGGGGTTTCATAGAGACACAGTCCCCACCCTTGGGGCTTGAAGTAAGGAAACACTGTCCCACTTCTCAAGAAACCCCAAAATGAAGGGGAGAGGCACCACCCTCACCTTGGGGCAATCCTAACATTCTGGGGGCTCAGAGGGGCATGAAGGGATATGACCCCTGGCCTCAGGGATCCTCTATCTGAAGTGGGAAGATATGCCCCTGGATTCAAGGAACCCTTCACACCCAGTATTCCTTGAGAGTAGGGGCTATATCTTTCCCATAGACCAGGGGCTTCTGAAACCAGTCCATTGTTGCTAACCCCCTCCCCAGCCAACTTTGAAACTCACCTTGGGAACATGTGGGGCCTTCATAAGGCCTAGGGCAGTCACAGCGGAAGGTTGTCCAGAGGTCAACGCAGGATCCCCCATGGTCACAAGGCCCTGAGCTACACCAGTCTGTATGCTCACAGCCCAGCCGTACCCCAGGCCGGCCATCAGCGAGATCCTCAGGCACCAGCATATGCCCATCCACACGCACGTCCTCCAGGCAGCCCACGAAGCTTGGGGTGGTCCCAGCCCCACCACCCACATGAACAGTCAGGAAGGCTGGAGAGTCTAGGGCTACTTCTTCTACCAGGGGATGGCTCTTCAGGCAGTGCCCATTCCCACAAGCCTCGTGCCACAGCCTCAGCTCCAAAGCTGAGTGGAGGACCACTTCAGCCCTGTGCCAATGCCCATCACTCAAGGATGGGGTGCTGAGGCTCAAGGGGAGCTCAGTGCGCTGACTCCTCAGTGTGGCCCACAGGGTGCCCTGAGACAGCTCCAGGGTGAGGCTTTCCACGGTGTCTCCTCGGAAGAACAAAAGTCCATCAGGCAGTGTGGTTCGAAACCTCAGCGACACAGCTGGCTGCCCAGGCCCATCACCCACAGGCAGTGCCACAAGCAAGAAGCCACCAGTTGCCAGGGAAAAGGTAGTAGATTGGGTGCACATGGGCCCATGAAAGCCTGGCAGGCAGTGACAGGTATAGCTATGGGCCCCTGCCTTGTAGATGGGGATGCACTGGGCCCCATGTTGGCAGGCATGACCTTCACATCCAGTGAGCAGGACAGAGCAGTCCTTCCCACCCCAGGTTGGGGGGCAGTGGCACACATAGTCATTTATACCATCCTCACAGGACGCACCATGGAAACAGGGCTCAGATGCACAATCATCAACATTGACCGTGCACGATACACCTGTTGAGAGAGAGGGAGTGTCAACCCATAGACATTGAACCCCAGAATACCCCTGCTGGAAGAGTCTGAGCCATCTTCTACTCCATCCTTCTACCCAGTGGAGTAATCAACTCCAGTCAATCAACACACATGTATTAAACACTCCTTTATGCCAGGTCCGAGGAATACACCTTTTAAAAATCAAAATAACAACTATTCTCACGTTTTATCCTACTCTCCACAGCATCACTGAGAAGAAGTCAGACACTGCTTGAATAATAGAAATAACATTCTTTTTGTTTTTAATTTAAAATCCATTTTTAAAGATATCTGTTTAATGGTAGCTTGGGCTGGGGACCCAATAGACTTCTTCTAATTATCTGTAGAGGGTTAAAATTAAAATATAGCTAATAATAGAAATAACCCCCATCTCTATAATATTTTAAGGTTGACAAAGCACCGTCTTCACAACTTGATGAGGTAGGTAGGAATTGTAGGTATTATTATCCCCATTTTATGGATGAGAAAACTGAGGGTTGGAGAGGGTGAGTTTGCTACAGCTATAGAGCTAGATTCAAACTCAAGTTTCTTCTCACTCAAAGTTAAGCTCTTTTCCCCTGCTCCATTCATTGGCCACTGAGGGAGTGCCAAACAGTACTAATTATTAGGAAGTCATTCCTGCTTTTTTTTTTTTACCAGACCTGTCATTTCATTGGTCTCACAGGCAATGGTCAGTGGGCAAACTTCCTTCACCAAAGCAGATCAGTATAACTTAGAGGTCCAGACAGTTGCCCAGCAACACTAGGAGGTTAAGTGTGACAGGCCTAACTTGAACCCAGGTCTTCCTGACTCCAGGGCTAGCTTGTTGATGCATATCAGTCAAAATTTACCTCCTTGTGACCTTAGTCTGAAATGTTTCACGGCAAAGTGGATAACCAGAAAGACCCAAGAAGTTCAGCTCCCAATGAAGACAGCCACAGGCTGTGTGACCCTGGGCAAGTCATTGAATCTTGCCATGCGCTAGCCAGCCCTCTAAGACAATAAGTTAACAACTTGCATGTGGCAGAGGGTATTTCCTCATCTGGGAATTCCCTATGTCAGTGGAATCACAAGTCCAGTCCTTATCCCTACCCCTGTTTTTAGAATTGGAAAAGCTGTTAGAGTAAATCAGTCGGTAAATATTTATTAGATCGCTACTATGTGCCAGGTACCATGCTACACACTGAGGATACAAAGAAATGTAAACACATTCCCTGCTCCAAAGAGCTCAGTCTGATTAGTAAAGTAGATGCCTGCCCTTCCCCTGCACTTTATAGATGAGGAAACTGGAGGCCAGAGAGAAGTAACTTGTCCAAAGTCAGATCAGGGGAAAAATAAAATACTAAACAAAAGAAAAAAAGAGCCTAAATTTGAACCCAAATTTCTAACTCCAATCTACTACGTAGCCATGTTGTTCCTTGCTTAGCCCTCTAAAGATAAACAGAACTAGTCTGTTGGGTCCCCAGCCCAAGCTGCCATAAAAAACCCTCCTGCCCTTACCCCTGATGTCCAAAGTCGAGAGCCCCGAGTGTGTGTCTCACCACTCTTGCATGGTCCGGTGCCCTCATTACGGGGCTGGGCTGCGCTGGGATGCTGTGCTCCCGCCAGCCTCCTGGCCCCACAACAACATAGCTCTGCCTAACTGACACCAAGTCCAAACCAACCTGAACACAAATCCCAGGAACAGATGCTTTTAGAACCTCAGAGATCATCTAGTCCAAGCCCTTCATTTTACAGATGAGGAAACTGAGGCCCTGAGAGGGGAAATGACCTGGCCAAAGTCACATAGGTAGTGACTGGAATTGTTTTCATTTTCTTTGTCTGTGTTCAGTTGTTTTGGTAGTATCTGACTCTTCATGACCCCATTTGAGGTTTTCTTGGCAAAGATACTGGGTGGTTTGCCATTTCCTTCTCTAGCCCCTTTTACAGATCAGGAAACTGAGGCAAACAGGGTTAAGTGACTTGCCCAGGGTCACACAGCTAGGAAGTGACTGAAGCCAGATTTGAACTCATGAAGATGAGTCTTCCTGACTGCAAGCCCAGTACTCCATCCACTGCACCACCTATTTTCTGTTTCCATTTTCTTTTTTTTTTTCCTTTTTCTGGTGAGTCAATCAGGGTTAAGTGACTTGCCCAGGGTCACACAGCTAGTAAGTGTCAAGTGTTAGAAGCCGAATTTGAACTCAGGTCCTCCTGACTCCTAAGCCAGAGATCTATCCACCATGACACCTAGCTGCCCCTGTTTTCACTTTCTATATCACTCTAAAGTTTACAGAGCACTTCCCTCCCAACAACTCTGGGAAAGAAGCAGTAGAAATAGGGTGATTTCCATTTTAAAGATGAGCAAACTGAGAGCCAGAAACCTGTGTGCCCAAGGTTACACAACCAGTAAGTGGCAGAGATGGAATTTGAACCCCAGTTTTCTGACTCCTGACCAAACATGCCTCCTCTCAGCTCCCCTCCATCATCTCCCAGCAAGTGCTCATTCAGCCTGTGCAAGAAGACCTCAGTGATGGAGAACCCCCAATCCAGCAGGCAGACCAATACGCTTGAGAGAATAATTCTGGTTGTTGTAAAGTTCTTGCTTACATAGAGCTAAAATCTGCCTCCACTTTCTCTGCCTTCCTCTTTATCCCATCCACTGGTCTTGGCTCTGCCCTTGGTGACCAAATATAAGACACCCAAACCCTCCTCCCATGGTATGGTACCTAGGAGTAACAAAGGGGCCCTTCCCTCCTCCCCCCATCCTCAATCTAGCTGATACAGACAAAGTTCAGTGCCCTCCTCCCCCATTGCACTAAGTCAATCCCGCTGGTACCTGCCAGGAGCAACAGGCCCCCCAGGACAGCCCCTGGGAGCAAGGATGTCATCTCACCCCCTTTGCAGACATGGGGGCCAGGAAGATGAGGTGGCTGCCTGGGTAGGGCATTGGGCTGTGGAACCAACCAAGTGAAGGGAGCTGAAGGCCAGAGCAGCTGCTCACCAGGAGCTGAACAGCAGAGAAGGCTAATCCAGCTCCCCTTGACCCGCCCCATCCCTCCCATCTCCACTCCAGCTGGTTCCCATCAGCACTGACAGACATGAGAATGCTCAGCTTAGGTTTTCCCTCCCTCCCTCCTCCACATGACATCTGCACAGCCCCTGCTGGGGAGGGACTGAGGCAGTGAGCAACGTAAAAAAAGCAACTGGACACCCTTTCACTATGCCCTTCTCTAGGGTAGGAACAGAGAGCCCAACCCCTGCACCCCTACCCATATGAAGGGAGGAAGGGGGGATTAATATCAACTACTTCTATTTCCATAAAGCTTTAAGATTTGCAAACCACTGTCTCCACAAATTATCCTGTGAGGTAGAAAGTAACAATTATTATAGAATTGCGTTCAAATGCCACATCTGATGCTTATTACCTGCATGTCCTTGGGAAAATCACTTCCCTTTCTGGGCCTCGGTCTCCTCATCTGTAAAATGGGATTGGATTGGATGGCTTCTGAGGTCCATTCAGCTCTAGATCTTTGATCTCCATTTTACAGAGAAAGAGACTGGGACTCAGAAAGAAGATATGGCTTTTTCAGGGTCATACAACTAGTAAGTCACAGAAACAGGAATCATCGCTTTAAGAGCCAAAGATCCTCTAATTAACCATCTCATACAAACCCTTTATTTTACTGAAGAATAAGCTAAGATCCAGAGATATTAGTCATTAAATAGACATCGAAAGTCACACTGTTAATTGGTGGTGGGGAGGGACAAGAAACCAGGTCTCCTAAGACCTTACAGATAAGAAAAATAGGTCTAAAGGGGAGCAGTGAATTCTCCAAGCTCACATAGGTAGTGAGTGGCCATGCTGGAATTTGAACCAAGGCTGCCCTAACCCCCAGGTTCGGGCTCTTTCCATAATAGCTCATGTGCTGAAGCCTCAGCCAGAAGTCAGATCTACCTAAGGTGTGCCTAGGAGATGGAACATCTCCACAACCCTAACACAAAATTTCTCCATGTTCCCACCACAAGACTCCCCAGGGCACACACCTACTGCCCCCAGATATGAGAGGAGCAGTGAGAGAGACAGACAGACAGACAGAAAGGCAGAGAGACAAAAAGAGAGACAGAGAAAGACAGAGACAGAGAGAGAAAAAGAGACATACAGAGATAAAAAGAGAGATAGACAGAGACGAAGAGAAAGAAAGAGAGAGAGAGAGAGAGAGAGAGAGAGAGAGGAGAGAGAGAGAGAGAGAGAGAGAGGAGGGAGGGAGGGAGGGAGAGAGAGAGAGCCCCTGCCTATGACTGCCAAGACCTAGTAAAGAACTGAGGACAAGTAGAGGAAGCAGGTGGCACACAGGTCCCAGGATGGGTTCTCATAATCTCATTAGATCTCCAACCCTATTACTACTTCATCCTCTTACCTTGGAAAGCTCCATCTTTCAAAGTACCCCACCTCTTCCCCCATCTGCGTCAATCACCACTGTCCAGTAGACTTGGAGAATACCCCCAACATCTCCCAGGGGCTGAAGTTCAGAGACAATTAACATGAGAAAGTACATCGAACATGATGGAAAAAAAAAAGAAAAATCCTATATACCTCAAAATATTTATAGCAGCATTTTTTAGTATCAAAGAAATGGAAACAAAGCAGATCTCCATCAATTGGGGAATGGCTAAACAAATTGTATTATACAAATGAAATGGAATATTACTGTGCTGTGAGAAACTGTGTAATAAAGAATACAGAAAAGCATCAGAAGACTTGTATGAACGAATACAAACTGAAGTAAGTAGTGAAGTAGAACCTAGAAAAATAAATAGATAAATAATATAGGCACACACACATAATGACTATAATATAAGTAGAAATAGCAAAACAATTGGAACTGAATGCTATGAAGTTATAATGATGAAGCTTGGCCCTGAAGAAGAGATATGAGAATTCATCTCCCTCTCTTTTTTCAGAAGGCAGTGTGGGTACAGAACACTATCTATGCTGTTAAACTTGGCCAATGTTCTGCTGAACTTTCTTATTCTTTGTTTTTAGGAGAGAGCTCTCTGGAAGGGAAATGAGAGCAGGATATATTGGGAAGTGAAAGTGACATAAAAGCAAATGATATCAATCCTTATTTTAAAAAAGAAAAGACGTTTATCGACCAGAACACACTAGAAAAGGATAAACAGATGATGCGAGAACTAGGGACCCAAGCCATTTGAGAATTGGATGAAGGAACTAGAGATCTGTGGCCTGGAGAAGTCTGGGGGTGTGTGGGGTGCAATAATCACTGTCTTCCAGGATCTGAAGGATTTTCCTGAAGAAGGATTAGAGTAGTTCTGCTTGGCCTCAGAGGGCGGAACTGGAAGCAATGGGGGGGGGGCAGGGAGACAGAGATGGATTTCAGCTCAATGTAAGGAAAGGTTTCCTATCAAGCAGAGCTGTCAAAAAATGAAATAGAATACTTGTTTAAGTGGGTAAGTTCCCTGTCACTCAAGATCTTCAGATAGAGGCTGGCTGACCATTTGTTAGGGGTGTTGTCCAGGGGATTTTGACTCAGGTGTGTCTTGGATCAGATCCCCTCTGAGATATTCCCTCAAATCAGATTCCCTGAGAAATCAGATGCCTTGGTCCCTATTCTTCCCCTGCCTCTGCTACTCATGGCCTCCCTCTTGGACACAAACATGGTTGTAGGATCATAGAATTTAGGGCCCAAAGGAACAGGCACTTTAGGCAAGATCCTCCAGTCCAGGGAACTTCACTTTTTTGTGTCTAGGGCTCCTTTAGCACACCATTATGGTGAAACCAGAATGACCCCCTCTCAGAAGAAGGTTTTTTTTTTCAAGTACACAAAATAAAATACATAGGAGTACAAAGGAAACCAATTATATTGGAATATAGGTACCAAAAGAGTTTTTAAAAAACAAATTCGTGGGGCAGCTAGGTGGCACAGTGGAGAGAGGACCGGTCCTGGATTCAGGAGGACCTGCGATCAAATCTGACCTCAGACACATAACACGTACTAGCTGTGTGACCCTGGGCAAGTCACTTAACCCCATTGCCTAACCCCCCCCCCAAAAAAAACACAAATTCACAAACCCCAGAACCTCTAATCTAGTCCAACCCTATCATTTTACAGAGGAGGAAACTGAGACCCAGAGAGGCAAAATGGCAAAGTATATTATTAATCTGAGATTTATAAACTTTTAAAAAATATTTTGATAACTGTATTTTTCTGAGTTCACATTCCAGCTCTAACATTCTATGTACATTCAGCTCATGACCCCAAATCCTGCCTCCTCTCATCCTACTATTAGTATACCAACCAGCCTCTGAATAAATACCTTCATTGACAGTGAATTCACTACCCCCTTGAAGGCTTCAGGGGCTTTCTTTTCTGTCCAAGCTCCCTGCCTGTCTAATTGCTGAATGGAAGAGTTGGGCACCGGGCCTGTGCCAGGGACAGGAAGAGGAGGCTGGGTTCAGAGGGAGGAATTTATACTAGAGATGTCGGGGGGGGTGGAAAAGACAGGACAACATTCCAGTGGAAGGGGCAGGAGTGTTCGTTTGCAGGTACGTGTAGCTGAGGATGTGTACAAGCATGCGTGAAGCTGTGGACCACAATAACAATTAGAACTCACACTGCTCTGCTTCATTAAGGCTAACGCAGTCCAACAACTCTGAAAGAGGTTGTGCAAATGTTGTTATTCCCATGCTAGGGATGAGGAAAGTGAGACTAAGAGAGGTTTTGTGACTTGGCCAGGGTCATAAAGCATGTGTGTGTGTGTATGTGTGTGTGTGAGCACGTGTGTGTGTGTCCATCCTCTTGAATGAGCACAGCCACACAGGTCTAGCCCAACATGGCTCTTTGCCGCCCATGCACAAAGCTCCCTCATCTTGCCTTTATGTCTTCTGACTCTTCCTGGGATCTAGGATTCTCTCTTCTGTCTAGTCAAGCCCTCTCCATCTTCAAGGCCCACCTCCTTTGTGAAGCCTCCCCTGAGCTTCCACAGCCCCCTCACCAAGCCCTGAGGACCTGCTGCCTTGTCCCAAGAGGGACTGCAGCAAGTCTGTAACCTCGGGCCCTGAGCTAGGATTTGAACCCAGTTTCTATGCTCCAAATTTACTTACTAGGCTATAAAGGCTCCCAAAGCAGTCACTGGGTCTTCTCTAGTTCTCTGCCTACAAGCACAAGGCTTGGCATAATGGGCTGCTTGGGAAATGCTCAGAGAGGGAAGGAAGGTAGGAATTAATGAGTGGATAATGGACTCAGTGAATGAATGGCATAAACAAATGAGCAAATGAATGAGTGTATGATGGAAGAAATAAGGAAATGCTTATTAATTATTGCTTATAACTCTTCTAGAGCACTCAGATTTATGAGTGAGTGGATAAATGGAGGAAGGAAGTAAATGAGTGAGCTAAACGAATGACTAAGTAATGAAGGAAAGAAAGAAATAATAGATTGAGTTAATGAATGCCCACAGTTAAGCCAAAGGACAGCAGACATCCCCTATCAGCCAAAGAATTCAGGTGTCAGGAACAGTGTGGGGCTCCCTTCCTGAACCGCATACCTCCTCCTCAGAGAAGAAGGGGTGAGACACTAGGGCCCACATACTAATGACCCCCACCACACCCCAAAACCCTCCTCCCATCCCCTCATCAAGCACCTGTGTACCCTGCCAGGCAGTGGCACTGGAAGCTGTTGGGAAGGTCCTCACAGGTCCCTCCGTTCAGGCAGGGTTGGGACTCACACTCATTCACATCCACGGAGCAATTGTCCCCTGCAAGCAGAGCAGTCGAGAGTCTTCAGTCAGCCCCAGAAAAAGAGAGCGAAGCAACTTCCTTCCATATGCCCATGACATGCCTTAGATTGGGACCTCCCTCATGAGCTGTATGGGTACCAGGGCTGAGAGGCTGAGGATCAGAGGATAAGATCCTAGAGAGATCTATTCTAATCCTTTCATTTTACATATAAGGAAAATGAGGCACTGAGAGGTGTCCAAAGTCACCCAGCTAGTAAATAGCAATAAGAAACAACATGCATGAAGAATACAGAAAAGCATGAGAAGACATGTATGAACTGATGCAAACTGGATTTGCACCTAGGTCCTCTGATGCCAAATTCAGTGCTTTTCCCATTGTAGTATACACAGTCTGGTTCAATGCCTCCCTGATACCTGAAGGCTCAGAGCATGCCTGCAGCCAGCAATCACTCAGTAGGCACTCAAGCTTGGACTGGAACCTAGTCTCCTGACACCCACTACAAGCTTTATTCCACCACTGAAACCCTCCTCCCTAGCATACTATCTCTCAAGTCCTCAGTCAGACATTCCAGGGAATAGGGCCAGACAGATGGGGAGAATAGGGAGGGGGGCTCCCCAAGTCCCACTCACCTGTGAAGCCAGGAAGACATTGGCACATAAAGCCAGCCGCTGAGCTGTAGCTGAAGGTCCCAGGAAAGACAGGTTGGGCTCCCCCGTAGAGTGACTTGATTGGATCGCTGGAAACAAAGGCCCCCATGGAGGCAGGGGCCCCCCCACACTCGTCCTCATCCATCTCACAGTGCTCTCCATGGTAACCTGGGGCAGGGGCAGTACCCACAGAGATATCTACATACCGACACCCTCATGGATTTACACAAACACACACACACATGCCACAAATATATACACAAGCAAAATTTCCCTTATTCATACAGACATGTCCATGGGCTGTACATATGAATGCTTGTGTGCGCGCACATTGTTCATGGAATTCCAAACTAGAAAGTTAATTAGAGACCACTTAACGTAACAGGATGGGAAACCAAGATCTAGGGAGAAGTGACTTACCCAAAGTCAGACAGGTAGGAAAGGCAACACTCTCATACAAGTGCCCTGACTTCTGAGGTCTTTGTACTAGGCTATGCTGAGTTTTTGAACAACATTGCACGTGAGAACCTTTAGAAAGCTGATGGGGCTAATGAGGACCTGTTGGCCAAGATGAACTGGAAATGCTGATTGGGGAGAGGTGGGAGGGGGGGATTGGGATAAACATGGACACACCAGTATGTGCGCACGCACATACACACACACATACACACACACACACATACCTGGCAGGCAGACACAAGTATAGTTGCTCAGCCCATCCAGACAGGTGGCATTGTGCAGACATGGATTGGACAGGCACTCCAGTACTTCCACCTCACAGAGAGCACCCTCGAAGCCAGTCCCACTGCAGTTACACTGGAACCTGGGACAGACCCAGCATCCAGGGGTCACAGATCCCCAGAGGCTGACAAGCACTCTGACACTCCACAGTTCCATCCCACATTCAACTCCGCCAGAGCCGAGTGGCAAACTAGTCTAATCCCGTCATTTTTCCAAGGGGAAAACTCAGACCACAGAGAGGAAGCAGCTTGCTTAATGTCACACAGCAAGCTACTAGCACAATCACAGAATCCAATTTCTGTGAACTAAAAGCTGGAAGAAGCCTTAGAAATCATCTAGTCAACCTCCATCCCCTGCTCCATTTCACAGAGGAGGAAACCGAGGCCAGGAGAGATGAGGTGGGTTTGCCCAAGGTCACAAAATGAATTAGCAGCAAGGCCAGGACTCAAACCCGCAAAATCTAGGGGTGTAGGTCTCCTGTACCAGGCTGTTGTATGCAGTCTGTACGAAGTTGATTTACCTTCGTTTTATCATTTCACTTCGTAAATTCTGAGTACGTGAGGTGTGGTGGTGAGTGAGCTGGACTCAGAAGGAGGGAGGCCTTGGTTTGAGTCCTCGGGGCACATCCTGAGCGATCCTGGACAAATCATCTTACATATTGGAGCCAGAGCAATTCTCTGGACCTGTAAGCTGCAGACCAGGCTGTGGGCTGCAGAGGTAGAGAGCTTCCTCACAGGAAGTTCCCTGCATTCCTGAAATCCCTGTTCTGGTCCCTGCCAAAAACCTTATGTGTGTATCCCAACTCCCTTGCTAGAGCACAGACTTGGTGAGGGCCGGGAGCAGCTCTCATTGAGGATTTCTATGTTCCCTTGCTCTAAGAACCAGGCCTTAGGTATTGTAGATGCTTCACATGACTGGTGAATTAAGCTTTCGGCCTTCCTCCATCAGCCTCGGACCATGGACTTTTTGAAATCAGGGACTGCCCTTCTCCCTCCCCCTGAGGGTTTCTGAAGAGCGTCAGACCTCAGACTCCGAGCTGCTGAAGGGCTGGGACCCCACCCTCTTGTTTGGTCTCTCCTCACAGGTCCCAGGAGTGGCCTAAGGTCAGCCTGCCTGTCAGCCTGTCCCCAGGGCTGGTCCTTCCCCAGGGCTCTCACCTATCAATGAAGTTGTGGCATATGCCTCCATTGGCACAAGGCTGGCTCTCACACTCATCAATGTCCACCTGGCAGTTATGTCCAGTGTAGCCGGGGGAACAAAGACATTGGTAGGAGCCGACACCCTCCAGGCAGGAACCCCCATTCTGGCAGGGATCGGATTCACATTCATCTATTTCTGTCTCACAGTTCAGTCCTAAGACAAAGAGTTGAAGTGAAACCAGGATGGGGAGAAAGAGGGATAGAGAAAAAGAGATTGGGAAGAAAGAGAGAGAGAGAGAAAGGAGGGAGGGAGGGAGAGAGGGAGAAGGAGTGAGAAGGAGGGAGGGAGGGAGGGAGGGAGAGAGAGAGAGAGAGAGAGAGAGAGAGAGAGAGAGAGAGAGAGAGAGAGAGAGAGAGAGATTAGAGTGAGTATATGGGATTTCACAGGTTTCCCACTGGACTCCTTTATCCCAGTGTGGCTCCTGAAGACCCAGAGCAGGACTCAGGACTCAGGACTCAGTGCTAACCCAGAGATTGTGGGTGCTTTCCTTGATTTCCAAGGCCCCAAACCCCACCTTCAGCAATTTCAAGATCCCAGGTAGCCTCTGCCCAAGTGATGAGGGGCCAAAGTACGGCACCCAGCATTAGAATGAGGGCCATGAGGACAGGTTAGTGAACCCTTCTATATACATATAGACATTTAGAGTTCACAAAGTATTTTCTTAATAATTTTGTGAGGTGGGTTGTTTCCTAAATCAGAGGAAAGTGAGGATCAGAGAGGGGAATTGAATTAAAACTCATGAGCTTCAGAACTAGAATGGGCCTTACAGACCATCCAAGCCAACCCCCTCAATTTATAGAGGGGAGAATTCAGGCCCAGAGAAGGGGATTAACTCAACTGAAGTCACACAGTTAACAAATGGTCAAGCAGGGAAGTGAACCCAGGTCCTCGGATTCTCAATCTCCTCATTGCATTATACCAGGCTCTATCCCTACACAGCCCTCCCCCACTCCACCCCCACTGCTGCTGGGAGGCTCTGCCCACGCCCCCAAGGAAGGCTTCCAGAGTCTATGACTCAGTGAAGGAGTTGCCCACTGCTCCTCCCACCTGGTGACCCCAAATTCCTCCCCAGGCACATCCTGGCAGGCCCCCAGCTCCTCAGGCTCCCGTGCCTGTCGGTGCTAGGGGAGGGAGCTGGCCTGAATTCCAGGCCTCACTGCCCTGCCTGGGGAGGGGAGTTGAAGGAGGGGTAGGAAAGAGGAAAGGGAGAGAGGAGGGAAGAGAAGGGAGGGGGGAAATGGAAGAAGAAGAAGAGGAGGAAGAGGAGGGGAAAGGGCACAACCACTGAGACCAAGACCCTCTGAGTCACCCATGCAAGAAGAATCAGCCTCACTGTCTCACACGTACACAGCCATGTGCACACTCAGAGACACACACACACAAACACATTTATACATACACAAACATACTTATGGATGCATGTTTTTTCTGTGCTTTCACTGATGTGCACAGGGGTATACACATATGGTCACATGCAAATACACACACATACATACCTACAGACATACACAAATACACACAGACACACACACACACAGACTCCCCATCTTTCAAAAGGACTCATTCTACAGAGATAGGGCCAGGGAGCTCTGAAGACCCGCCACAAACCCCCCTTTCTCTGGTGTCTTCCCTGCTCAACTATTTGTTAACTGTGCCACTTTCGTTGAGTTGATCCCCTTCTCTGGGCCTGAATTTTCCCCTCTGCACATTGAGGGGGTTGGCTTGGATGGTCTGTAAGACCCCTACTAGTTCTGAAGCTCATGAGTTTTACTTCAATTCCCCTCTCTGATCCCCCTTTTCCTCTTATGCAGAAAGCAGATGAGGCTTCCTCTGGAACCTTTCTGTTCAGGCCCTTCCCCTGGAATTGCCTGGAATGGTCCCTTTTCCCTTGTCCCTGGGGTGGGTACCTCTCTTCCTGCCTCTGGGGTGGCCCCCTGTCCCCCTGCCCTGGAGAGGGTGCCTATACTCCAGCTCCCCTCCCACTGGGCTGGGTCCCAGGGGTGGGCCAGGTCTCACCTGTGTAGCCAGGGGAACATAGGCACCGATAGCCATCCACACGATTGACACAGGATGCCTCATGCTTACAGGGCCTGGATGCACACTCATCGATGTCCAGCTCACAGCGTGGGCCTTGGAAGCCTGGCACACAGTAGCACAGGAAGCCACCTGGACCGTCCACACAGAGAGCCCCATTCTGGCAGGGGCCTGACATGCACTCATCTACATCTTCCTCACACAGAGGACCAGTCCATCCTGGAGGACAGAGGCAAGCAAAGCCGGCCCCTGCTGCGAGGCAGGTGGCCCCATGATGGCAAGGCTGTGCAGCACAATTCCCAAGACAGCCATCCTCCCCACAGTCTATCAAGCTGCAGTTGGGACCCCAGAAGCCAGGAGGACAGTGACAGGTGTGATTCAAAACCCCTAGGGCTGCATGGCAAATCTGGTTCTCGGGGCAGACCTGCTCAGAGCAGGCATAATAGAGCTTCTCACAGAAGGTCCCTACATAGGCCACAGGCTCCGTGGGACAGACACACAGGAAGCCACCACTACTAGTGTTCTGGCAGGTGCCCCCGTGGGTGCAAGGGTCTGGAGCACAGCCACTGGGGCCTGGAGAGGACCAGGTTCCTGCAGAGTAGAGAGAGAAAACTATGTATCAGAGAGGGAAGAGGCCTTCGAGATCACTAAGTGCACTGGGAACTGAGGCCTTGAGAGGACTGTGACTTGCCCATGGCCACAGGAAATAAGAGTCAGGGTTCACAACTGGCTCCCATAACCCCTCACCCTGACGTCAGGCTTTGGCAGCCGCAAAGATGGGTCAGGCTGGGCTGTGTTCAAATCCACAGCTGGGCCAAGGGGTCCCTAAGCTTAGCACTTCCCCACCCCCAGAATCCTTCTGTCCTCTAATCCCTCCTCACCTCCCACCCATCCTTTACACGACCACAAAACTCAGCATTGTTCCACACAGATCTGGGGAGTCCCCACTGCCAGCAGAATAAAGTTCCAATCTCCCTGTCTGGCATTCAAGGCCTTTCATAAGCTGGAGCCACCCTACCTTCGCTACCCATTCCATACTCCAAACAAAGCAAAAAATTCTGTCTCCTCAAAGACACCCTGTGCTTTCCCGCCTTTGTCTTTGCTCTCCTTGTCCCCTCAGCTCAGAATTCCCTTCCTCCCCTTCTTTGCCTGTTGAACCGCTCCCAGACCTTTAGAATTCAAATCAAGTATCACCTTTTCCATCAAACTATCAAGGGATCCTGGTCCGTGACAACCTTCAGGCTTGGTCCTCACATAAGCATTTTATTCTGCACCTCCCAAGCGGACTGACATATCATGGAATTGTGAATTATTGCTATCTGTACCTGTGCCTTATTTTTTTCAATTAGACTGTAAGCTCCATGGGGCTAGGGCCTCTGGGATTTAGACTCTGTACTTCCCCCAGGGCCTAGCAGAGCTCTGTACACCTCAGGAGCTTCAGGAAATCTCGTGGTCTATTATTTTATAAATACCAGGGCATGAGCAGGGCAGAAATATCTACAAGCCAGAGTTAAGACAGGACAAAATGTGTATACACTACAAAAAATGAGCAGGATAAGGAAGACCTGAGATTGTCTACACTCCAAAACTGGGATAGGACCAGGTGTATCTACACTTCAAATGTGGGGCAGGACAAGGATCATTTAAACCCCAGAGCAAAACCCCAGTGCAGAGCCAATACCTGCTCCAGAGCAATTGTAGGGAATGTGGTATACTGGACTAAAAGCCAGGAAGAACTGGGTTCAAATCCTGCCTCAGGCACTCATTGGCCATGTTGTCTCGACCAATTCACTTAAAATCTCTAAGCCTCAATTTTCTCATCTGTAAAATGGAGACAGTAATACCTATAATACCAACGTCACAAGAGTTTTTCTGATGATCAAAAGAGGAGACGCCTGTAGACTATTTTATAACCTCTAGCTATTATTTTTTGTTCAGGAGTAAGTCTGTGTATTTGTGATTATACATTTTGAAGTGAATATTCCTTTGTAAAAGGTCCACTGTGTTGCATACAGATTTGTTGTTCAAGTCATTTCAGTCATACCCAAATCTTCAGGACTCTATTTGGGGTTTTCTTGGCAAAGATACTGGAGTGTTTTGCCATTGCCTTTTCTGCCTCATTTTACAGAGGAGGAAACTGAGGCAAACAGGATTAAGTGACTTGCCCAGGGTCACACAGCTAGTAAGTATCTGGGGCTGTATTTGAACTCAGGTCTTCCTGACTCCAGGCCCAGTGCTCTATCCACTGAGCCACCTAGCTCCCCTCTAGCCATTATTATCATATCCCAGACCTGAAGCAGGACCAATAATTTCTGTCCCCAAAAATGGGATCTCAATCCCAGAACAAGATAGGATAAAGGGATAAATAAATTTCAGAGTCTTAAAAGGATCACAGAGTTAAGGAGGAACTGGGCCACATCCACATCCCCAAGCTCCCATATAAAGTAAAGGGGCAAAAAAAAAAAACCCCAAATAAATGAAAATAAATTTTAAAAAATAAAGTGAAGGGGCTGTAAATAAGATTGTCTCTGAGGGGCCACAGAGTTCTAGATGTAACATAGGGTAGTGGATAGAGTCCTGGACTTGGAATCAAGAGGACCTGAATTCAGATCCAGCCTCAGACATCTACTAGTTGGGTGAACGTGGGCAAATCACTTAACTTCTCTCTGTGCCTCAGTTTCCTCATCTTTAAAATGAGGATGGCAAACTTGTTGGCTCTAAGATACCCTCCAGCTCCAAAGTTAATAGAAAAACTGGACCTGGAGTTAGGAAAATATAAATTAAAATCCTGTCTCAAAGACTTACTAGTTGTATGACCTTAGAAAAGTCATTTAACCTCTGTCTACCTCAGTTTTCTCATCTATAAAATGGGCTTGTAACAGTACCTATGTCCAAGGGTTGTTGTAAGGATAAAAAGAAATAGTACAGTTATCTCTTCCATATGGAGGGGGTCAGAGGGACTGTGCCCCCATGATATGGAAAATTCACATAAAATTTTTTGGTGTTCCCTTTGTACCAGAGAAGAAGTCTGAATTATTATGGTAATTAAAAAATAACATAGGGGGGCAGCTAGGTGGCATAGTGGATAGAGCACCGGCCCTGGATTCAGGAGGACCTGAGTTCAAATCCGGCCTCAGACACATAACACTTACTTAGCTGTGTGACCCTAGGCAAGTCACTTAACCCCATTGCCTAGCCAAAAAAAAAAAAAAAAGATAACATATCAGGGCAGCTAGGTGTCACAGTGGATAGAGCACTGGACCTGAGTTCAAATGCAACCTCAGACCAAACACTTGACACTTAATAGCTGTGTGACCCTGGGCAAGTCACTTAACCCCAATTGCCTAAAATAAATAAATAAAATTTAAAATTAAATGTTTTTTTAAAAAGATAACATAAGTTGACATAATACAATACTATACATTTATTCTATGCATTTCTGTGTTTCTAAACTTTTTCTGTGTCATCTACTGGTCTTTCCATGTTATCTGTGGCTTCCACAGAACTCCCAAAAATTCCCATTTAGTTTCTTATGCAGAGGTTTCTATGATATAACAAAACAAGGTGGGGAAAGTCTCAATGTCTGTACTTGTAAAGTGCTTTGTAAGCCTCAAAGCACTATACAAGTGTTAGCTATTACTATCATGATTCCCTCATGGACTTTGCTCCTGACCCCCCACCCAGGTCCTGGCTTTCTATGTGGGATAAGGGGGAAGGAGTCTGGGATGGACTTTCGAGGGGGATTTTTGTAGTCGTGGATGTGAACAGCCTCCCTCCTTCCTCCCTGGACACACTAGTTCCTCCAGGAGCCTCCTGTGAGGCCCTGGGAAGGGGAGGGAGTGAGGGGAGGCCTTCGGGTTGACCCTAAGAGACAGGCCTCTGACTTTGAAGCTCTGTCTCCTGCCAGGAGCCGCCCCGGACCCTCAAGAGAGCAGCAGAGGAGTCCAGACAGAAAGGATCTCCAATTTCATAGAGAGATAGAGTTGCCAGTTCTCCTACTTCCACAAAGAGAAATAATAATAATAACTCCAACTTCTCTAGCATTCAAAACATTATAAAGGGGTTTTCCCCACCAGAGTCTTATGAAGTAGATCATGCAAGGATGTCTACTGAACACAGCTAGGAAGCAGAAGCACAGCTGGTTCTTAAGATCCTAGGTCTGGAGCTGAAAGGGGCATCAGAGGTCATCCAGTCCACCTCCCTTATTTTACAGAGGAGTAAACTGAGGCCCAGGAGGCTTAAGCAAAGTGCCCAAGGTTATGTAAGTAGTGCCGGTGGGATGATATGAACCCAGATCTTTAGCCTCCAAAGCCAAGCATCTTTCTCCTGTATCTCACAAGCCAAGACTGCCCGAGAGCCTTCCTCCCCTGCCCTCCCAACCCCATGCAGCAGGTCCATCCTGGGAATGGTTCCCTCTCTGCAATGGGCACAGCTCACTTCAGATTTCCCTCTCTTGGGGGTTTGTCCACTTCTGAGTTCCCTATGCAGGGAAGTTCTCATTTCTTGGACAATAATTTGATACTTTACCTCGGTTTCCAAGCTGAATGTTAATTTTGTCACGTGAGAGCACTAATTGCCAACTCTTAATCGGCACATGGCTCTCCATTCTGCTAATGGCTTGTGTTTGGCTGACTGATCTAGGAGAAGCAGGGGGATTGAGGGTGTAGAAAGAGCAGTGGATTGGAAGACAGGAGACCTGGGTTCTAATTCCAATTTATGTTAGCTTAGCTGTGTGACCTTTGGCAAGTTACTTGACCTTTGTCAGTTTTCCCATCTGCCAAACGGGTTTGACATCCCTTACACTACTGACCTCATAGGCGTAATGTAAGGGAAATGCTATATGAAGTGTTAAAAGCTATAGAAACAGGACCTGTTCTGATTCTTTCTTTTCCAGTTGTCATCTCATTAGATGTTCATAATATTCCCAGGAGGGAGACAAGACAGGGCTTATTATCCCCATTTTTCAGATAAGGAAACTGAGGCCCAGGAAAGGGAAATGACTTAGACTTGGGACCAGAGCCCAGATTTCCTGCCTCCCATTCCTGAACTCTTCTCTACTCTGCTCCAGGACCAACTGCTCCAGACTTCCACCCTGGGACTGTCTTCCCTTCTCCCTTTCTGCCTCCCCCTCTCTGCCCTGAATTCCAGGCCCTCGTTTTCTGCCTGAGTGCCTGGCATGGAGGGAGGAAAGAGCTGACGTTGCTGAACTGCTGGGCATACCACAGAAGCTGCTCTTCCCCATCCCCCAGTCTAGAGTTCTGACTTCCTAGGAGAGATGAGGCAGCCTTTCCCATAGGCTGGAGGTGAGAGGAGGGATTGCTGGGACTCCTTCCTGGGGGCTAACATTGCTGAAGGCTCAGAGATGAGCCAGGATCCTGGTCCAGTTCCCTAGGACCCAGAAAGAGCTCCCAAACCTTGAGTGGAGCCCTGGAGAGCAGAGAGTTATACTCACAGAACAACCATTTTTTTTTAAGGTGGAAGGAACTTTAGAAATCATCTGATCCAAATCTCTTCATGTTATAGATGAGAAGGCTGAGGCCAGAGAAGGGAAGGTGACTCATTCAAAGCAATAAAATAATTAGTGGCCTAGC